ATATACAGATCACTCCGTCTGAAAGGGGAGAAGTGGACAGGCTGATGTTTGGATAGGCAGTTCTTTATAAGATAAATCGAATGGCAAACATGTCTCAGCCAGGTGTATGCCTCCCCATAAAAAGCTTTGCAAGTACTGAAATTCAGACTTGGTTAGTTTTCAGATAGTACTGAATGGAGAGGATTCAGAATTTTGCCCTTATATGTTGCCACTCCTAAGTTGAGGCAGGTTTTTTGAATATATGTAGTGATTTTTTAAATGCCTGCTTCTTTAGGGATCCTTGCTATTTACTGTAAGAAGGAGTGAGAGGTTGAAACCAGTTTTAAAATGTAGCAGCACTTAAAAGGAATCTCTGCTCAAAAACCTGCAGGATTTCAAGCCAGTGAACGACAGTGTACATTCACTTGAAGAATCCAGGTGGCTGTGGGCTGTGTTCAATTCTGCATCAGCTGTGAAATGATCCGAACAACACATTTCAATCACAGTACTGAAAGTAGCATTAGTTTATACATGTAAACGAATGTTTTATTGAGTTGTGGTTCCCAAATGTGTATTCCTGCTCAGAAACAAAGATTCTGATATGGTGTTGACTGTTATTCCTCTAGTACAAAAGTCAGTGGTTATAGTTTAGATGAGTGATGATAGGGTATTCAAGTGGGTTTGTGCTGAAGTAGATATGGAGAATACAGATGAGCAGCGGGTACAATAACTTTTTCCTCAAGGTAGTAACACACACATAGCTTTGTATGGCAACTTGTTAAACTGACTCCAGCCAATCTGCAAGTCATCTCTCTGTGTCCCTGGGATGTTTCCTGTGCTATTTTGGCTGTGTCTTTCCTTCTTCAAGGAAAGAGGAATCTGTTGCATGAGATTTTAGAGACAGTCTTGAGTATTTTTTACTTTTAATCTATGCTTTTGTGTCTTACATGCAGCTTGATACTGATTGATGTGTATTTTCGGGCTATTTGTAGATGATTGCAACTGCATAGACTGTTTCTTATTATTTTTGAGGAGGAAGTAGTAAGTTGGATCATATAATTTATCCAGAATGTTTGGAAACACTAACTTTAATAAATGAACAAAAGCTCTAGTGTTTGTTCTCTACTGATCTAAATGAAAGAATGAAGAATTTATGCACTTTTTTCCATTTGCAGCTTTTTTAGGATTCTTCCTCCTCATTTTTTAATATAGTTCTATGATTAAAACTTATTTGTTCTTACTTTATGAAAGCACATTCATGGTATGTAGATATTTCTTTCATTTAAATACCTTGATATCAGAAATATGTTCTAAAAATATCTGGTAACCAAGCTTAAGAGAACTATCACACTCAACATTTTAATCAGATAATTTTTCCCTTTGGCACAATTTGTGCTTTGCATTCTTCAAGTTCTTTTGTTGTATGAGCCTGTACCTTACCCTCTCCAAGAATGAATACTGCGGCCTTAAATTTGTTTTTGCTACTTGCAGCTTGCTGATAACTCCTTTTGTAGCTGAAATGGATTCGAGAAAGACCTCAATATAAGTAAGAATCTAGTTCACAACCTGCAAATTTATGTGTCTACAGCAGAAATTCATCATGTCTCACTAAGGTAGAGCTGATTTTTACAAAATATAGGTAGATAATTTCCGAGGGTCACCATTATTTTAAGCAGTCATTTAAGGGGAAGAGGGATTAGGAAATGGTGATGAATTTTTCAGGTTTCCATGAGAAAAATCCAGTAAATAGGTTGTAAGCCCTACCTACATCCATGCTCTAGGTAACACAACTTTTGTTCCTTAGTGGGATGTGGAAGCTGTGAATCTGAAACTAGAGTATTTACTCCTTTCTGCTACAAATAAGAATATAGGAAGCCATTTTCAAATGAGAAATCTCAAGCTTGTGCTTCTTTCTCCAAATGAAAAAATGTGTTCACTTCTATTTCCCATTAGAAACACACATCCTGGAACAGAAGAAAGAAGATTTTTGTATTGACTTTCAGTTTCATCAGAATTCTCAAAAAACCACAGAATTTTTCATCCAGGCAGAAGCTGAAGCACTGAAACTTTCAGGTTGTCCAGTAACCAGTCAAGCAAGAGGAGCTCAAAGTGATTGTAATTCCAGTCCTGAAGAATCAAGGTAAAAACAAATATCCCTATATATAGTTTTTCTAGATTCACATTATAGGCAATATACATACTGATTTTTGAATAAAGATAGGGAAGCTTACTTCTCAACTTAGAATCAGTAAGTCAGCTTTTTACTTAGACTCACCATATCCACCCTTCTTTCTTTGTGGAATGCAGCAATTCACCACTGTGTTCTCTAGCACTGATAGGAAATACAATCACGGCAACAGCTTATATCACACACTGTGGGTGTTTCAGTGGTTGTGATCTCTCCAGAGAATTTTTAAAATGTGGACTGAAGAGACTTAGAAAAGATGATCTAGAAGTCTAGTAGTATCTGTGGCTTTACACAAGAAGCAGTGTACCCTAAGTATGATGAGTGAGTAGGAAGGAATGAAGCAGGGTTGAAGTGAGTAGGAAGCAGGAATAAAGCAGGGAGAAGTCCAGATGAAGCTGGAAGAGTAAAGATGAGGAGCTGTAATACCTTGTAGGCAGCCTGTGGCAGGAATCTGGAGAAGGGCAAATATGGTTGAAAAGTGTAATACAAACTCTCAAGATTTTATTCTGTCATTAATTTTGGTCATTTGTTGCCATTAATTTCCATACTGAGTTATGGCTCTCTACTGCAGTCTTAAGAAACCTGTGCAGTCATGCTATATGTGACATAGTATATTAAGATATATCCAACTCACTAGGGAACATGCTACCAGTTTGAAGCAACTTAGGCATTCTGAAGCCCAAGTCTTAACTGAGAGTGACAGAGTTGCTTTTGAAAATGGGATTAAATCTGCAGACCCCTACTTTTGAAAAATATACTCTTAATTCTTCACCTGTCTCGCAGATTCTACACCTGGTCTTGTTATCTTTAGCATGATCTAGTGGTGACCCATTGGGCCAAAACCAGTCCATAGAACTTTTCCATCTGGCGTGTTGCCTTTTTTTGCATTGGGTCCTGGTATATGCTGTTAAGGCAATACATCCTGGACTAAAAGCCAAATATAATCCTGAATGCCTAAGTACAGCCCAGAACAGAGTCAGACAAAGATTGCTGCTCCTACTCTTCGCCAGTGCCACTCACACAGGCAATAAGTCTGGTCTTGAGCAATGAGATTAACCTCCCATAGCAGTCAGCATGTTGAACCATCTCGTCTGCAAATATATTGCGTGTGGGATCCTAAAGCTATAGGCCAAAACGTCACTGTAGTAGATAATATGTAAACTGCACAAAATCTGTCCTTCCCCAAATAGATTGCAATTAGAATATAAGATGAGAAAATGTTGAGTCAGTCTTGATTTGCATTGTAGATTATGGTCTTCGTGTACCATCAGTGTGACTTGTCAAGTTTTCTTTTAGACATCAGGAAGAAAACATTTGGGGGATTGGAAGATAGCAATGAGTTGTATTCAAACTTGTTCATGGGAAGCATCTCCTGAACATGGAAAATGCACAAAAATCGCTTGAGGTTTTTTTAATGTCTAGGCGATAGTATCCAGAAGCATCTTATCACTTGCCATCTGAAACAATACTAAATGAAATTTTGCTAGACAGAGCAAAGACGAAATAGGCTTCAAAGGATCCTGAAAGTGAAGACAAGCAGTTTAAGCACTCTTCCACCCCATGTATGCACTGTATGCAGTATATTACACTAAGTAAGTACTTTTTTGACATGAATCTCCCTGCTGTCTACAATTGATGTGCTTTAGGTTGCACCATAGTTTGCCTGCAGAGTATGGATCTTGACTTCCTTCTTAAAGAACTATAGACAAAATAAATGCAATGGAAACAGGTGGAAACAGGTATTCACCTAAGAGAATGACTCTTTGGAGCAAGAGATAGCTTTCCTTTCTTTCTAGGATGTCAGTTAGACATAATGAAAGTAATGATGTGTGCACAAGAAATAGGAGTTCAGAAGGTATAGCTTTCCTGTGGCTACTTCTTGTGAATCATTGGCTATGAAGCCTATAAACAGAAAACGCTATAGGGAAGCAAATGATAAAAATATTTGCTAATACCCCTTCTAATCCATTCATCTGCTAATTTTGCTGCCATCTTACAAGTGAGATCTGAGTTGTCTGTAAGTATCAATGGATAGCCAAGGAGTTTTTTAAAAGCATTATCTTGAGACAGAATTTTTGTGGCCATTGAATCTTATTTTTCCCTGTCTATGGCTACGTAAGTTATCTTAAAACTCTGTGAGTGCTATACAGTATGGAATTCCTGTTGTCAGTTATAATGTTTAAAATAACACCATCTTTTTACAGATTTCTGCAATATGAACTCCTAGATCTTGTCTTCTGGATATTTTCATTTCACTTCATTTGGAATTGTCCATCCTACCGAAGAATTTGGTTTCTTTTAACCTGAGCATCGTTTTGATCCTTAAATGTTTCATTATTTTGTTGCTCCATGCTGAGCACAGGTTTCTAATATTTGCTTCCATTAAGAGTTTTCCGTTTATAGGCTTCATAAACAATTTATATTAATCTGGTTTATGCCTTAGCATTGTAGTATATTCATTTACTATTCCAGATTTATGGTTTTTTTTTTCAGAATTACAGATTTAAGAAGTGACAGAAAGACATCCCTTTTACTGGCTATTTAATACATTTACAATGATTAGCAAGTTTTGATAATTTAGTTCTGTGTATTTTGTGTTTTGCATTCTTTTTTTTTTTTTTCCCCTTCCTAAACACAGCACCGTAGAAAGAAAGGCTAACAGGATGCCCTTTGAATTTATATCCTCATGGAAGCCTGCTGCAGATTTAGGTGGAAAGACAGAAGCTGCATTCCTTTTGAAAGAATTGGACACTCTGAGGGCCAAAAATAAAAAGGTACAGCTGGGATAATCAGATCACAGTATTTGATCTTTTATGGTAGTATTACAAAACATACATTTTAAACTGTTTCTAATTTAGTTTTGTTATTTATTTTGGTGCATCGATCAATAGCTATTTTGTCAGTTTGGGTTCTTAGTATCTGCTTAACAACTGCTTCACTAGAATTAAAAAAATCTTTCATCCTAGCCTTTTAGCCTTTTTAATCAGTAACATAGGTTCTTGCATCATGGATGAAAACCAAGGAAGACCAAAACCAAGGAAGACCAAAACCAAGACTAGGATTTCATTAGTAGAATCTGTAGCTCATGCTTCTATACATGTGGTCCAGATAATGAATGTGCCCTGATTTCTCGTCTTTGTCCAGGGGAAGAAGATTACATCCTACTTGCACACTGCATTGCTTCTAGCGTTAGTAGTGGTTGCATGCACCTAAACAACAGAAAAGTCTATAGTCTTTCCATGAAGTGTCATTGAATATTCAATGGCAAGCTCAGATATCTGTCCAATAAGAGATTTAGTGAATGCCCAGTTAAAAGAAAGGCCTCAGCATGTGAAAGAATATCAGTTTTCTAACTGGCAATGCACATGAAAAATTATGCATTTACACAACAGTCTCTCCAGGCTGTGATGTCAGTACTCTTGGTAGGAAATAGGTTCTTCATGCAGACACCACCTGCATTATAACTCCATGTAATGCTAAACTTCCCTGGCAAGAAGGACCACAGCTAGTGATACCTGAAGAAGAGAATCCCAAGTAAAAATAATGGCACACACCTTGCTGCTTGCCTTGCAGATCAAGATAGGCAGATGATAAAAAAGATATTTTAAACATTTGCCCTTTAAATAAATAAATATAATTAGTTGAACTTCTGTTGTATTGCTTAGGGTTTGTATTTTGGGGGTTAGAAACTACTATATAAAATTTTGTTGTGGTTAAAAAAGCTACTTGGCTGTTTCAGCTAGATAAGAATCTTACTGTCCGTTTGTTCAATTCAGCTTCAAGATAAGCTGTCTGAAAAGGACAAGGAGCTGAAGACAATAAAACTGGACTTAGAACTGCAAGAGAGAGCTACAGAAGCTAAGATTGCAGAAAAGATTGCAGGTACAGTAGGCAAGCGTTTAACAGATGGCTGTATGGCTCATACAGTACCTGCGGTTGCTATATGACGTGGCCTAGTGAATGTAAGCTTTATTTGCTAAAGGAGGGAAGATTTGACTTTTTTTTTTTATGTGTGGCTGTTTAGAGTTGCTTAGAAAATAGGTGGCTTTAACATCCTGGTACTGGTATTAGCAGGAGCTTTACCTGTATTCATACTGATTTGGGCATTAAATGCATTGTTAACACCATGTCAATCCAATCACAAAAAGGTTGTTTGTTTTGTTGGAAGGTCCTGAACAAACAAGGGGAAATAATGATTACCAGTGCCTCTACCTTTCAACCAGCAGTTCAAATACCACTTATTGTTTTTGCTTGTTCAGAGCAATACTACCCCTTCCCTGTGTAAGGAGATAGTCGCACCTTCACCCCAACTAGAGACCTGTACTATTCTTGAAAAATCTGGTTTTTTAGTAGTTAATGAGTTTTTGTCTAATTATGGTATATCTCCAGTGAATGAAATTTATACAGATTCACAACATGAAAGGTTTTAAAGTTTATAGTTGAAAATGAATGCACTTGTGAAAGTGAACTTACACTTGTTAATTGTTCTTTGGGTAGACATACAAGAATGGAAATGGTTTGTATTCTACAAATTCAGAAATTTCTAAAGTAGTGAAGTTGAGTATTTTGATTGTTGAAAAGTGTCTGTGTGTACAGTGTACCCAGTGGATGAAAAGTACTCTGAGGTTTTTCTCCAAGTGTTTCAAATAAATTAATGGGAGCACTTTTATACATTCATCATATCATTTGTTTATGTATAAAGCGTAAGCTAGGTAAAATTGTGTCCTCATAGACCACGCACACTTCACATGATATTAATAGTACTAACACCTGTCCCCAAAATATTAGTACTGAAGGGAGGAGTAACTGTCTTCAAGAGAATGGAGCAGAAAATAAACTCTCCAGCTGAAAAAACAGGTGTCTGACTTTCCACTTAATGTCAAACTTCTAAGAATACAGTACTCTGTATATGTTACAGATGGAAGAGAGAATTCCTACATTTGCAGTGCTGGTGGAGGGGAAAGGCAAATCTAATCTATACCTTAGGAAGCAGATTAAAATACAGGCATGATTTTATTCTTATTTCATTTTTCATAAACTGCTTGCTTTATTTTCAGAAGAAAAAAAAAATCTACACTGGGTATCACAGTTATATCCAGCAGCCAAAAGCTAATGCATATTGTTTGGGTTTAATACCAAGTTTTGTTTGTTCCTGGATATTTGCACATTGTTTTACCTCTGTAGCTGTAATAGAGAAATATTCTCTTTGATTATTCTCTTTGATATAGGTGTTTATTGCTCATTAAAACCTGGAAAGAAATATGTGTCAAAAGGTGTGTCAAAACCATGTTACTTTCATTTTTATGGGCACAGTTGAAATATTTGTTAGAAAAATGATTTTTACTACATTACTGTTTAAACTTTCTAATTATGTCCTAAGCATAATATTATCTTCAAAACAGTATGGTGTGAATATGGATATAATAATTAACATAGTTATTCCATTTTAAAAGGAAGAATAAGCCAAATTTTAATAAGAGCTACATTTTGTAATAAGGATGACCTTTAAAAAAAATGCCCTTTTTTCTTCTTTTATGAGTTCAGGAAGTATAAAATCCTTTAAATGCTGAGAGAGAGGCCAAGAGGCTCCTTACTACTGAAGCTGTTCGCAGAAAGGAATCATCGTTAATATTTCATGGGTTTCTGCTTCCTGTCTTACAGTTCTAAGAGTGTTACCATGTTTGGATAAATGTTTTGAAATCTGGAATGATGTGTGCCAATTTGAATTTGTGGAGGTCTATGTGTGTCTCTCTCATAAAAGCCTTGGAGAGAGTTCTAATGGACAAGCAGAACCTCATTAAAGAAGACTTGGTGTGTTTAAGGAAAACTTTTCCCTCTTGAGTCCTTTGAGGAAAGGAGAACACATGCTGCTGTGATTTCATGTTGCTAGTTAATGTTTAATTACTGCAGTGTATAATACATGGTAGTGTGAAGCTTGTAAATATGGGTGTTTGCATTTTTATTATTACTTAGTACTGACTTTATGATAAGAAAATGACTCCACAAAATTATACTGTAAAAAACATCAGAAAGGTACACCATAAAAATGTTATCTACTTTGAGGAATATTACAATTCTATTTTAAAATGTAACCGTCTAATTGATGTGTTTTACCTAAACAAGTCCCGTGGAAAGAAGAGAAAAGATGAAGACAAAGGCCATTTTAAAATGAAGCTACAACAGCCTTCAGAAACAAATAACCCCAAGCTTGTCACTTTATGATTTTTGCTTTGTTCAGAGGAAGAAGTGAAGGGGAAAAGTGAAAATTTGTGAAATGCTTTATAAGAGAATATGAAAAAGTAGAGTTAAGGCAAAAGATACATGTGATGGCAGAGAATGTTTAATCTTGTGTGCAGTAAATAGCTTATTTTGAAAAGGTGTTTATTTTTAAATTTTGGTAGCCTGGAAAATGGGTTTTAGAACTTCCTTGCATCCCTATCTCTATGTCAGGTATCTATGGCTAAGGACAATTAGGGAATCTGCTGTTTTGGGTGCAGGCTTTTAAACATTAGACTGTTGTTTCTGGTGGTCATAGTTGCCACAGGTTCCTGCTGTTTCTTCAGTATTCTTCTGTTGGATTTCCACTTATAAGGCAATGTCAGAAGGTACCATTAGTTTCACTCCCCATTATGAAGAGAAGAACAACAGAGGTGAAGGCAACATCAGAAAAATCAAGGGAAGAGTTCATTGTAAAAGAACTGAGACTGGCATAATGTAAGGAAAAAAGGGAACACCACACGTGAACTGGGCACGAAGAACAGACAAATCTTGAAATGCAGGATTGCCGGTTTTCATATGTTGAATAGAAGAGGGAATGGGTGCACTCTGTGGGAGGGGAAAGGGAGAAGGAGCACACATCTTCTGAGGACACGTGAGAAGATAAGGATGGAGGCACTGCAATGGAGTAAGTCTATAAAAGACCTAGAAGAGAGAACAGATCTCACTTTGGAGGGACATAATAAGTGACTTCATTTTTGCCTAACAGAAGAATAACACAGGGCAGGAACTTTTAGAGGAAGGAGCTGGTTGAGTGTAAGTGAGAATTGTAGACCATAGTGGTAGCTTCTCTAGGCTGGAAAAACTATCAAAGCCCTGGTCTTCTTGCAGTAACTCCCACCTTTACTGCAACAAAACATACCATAGTTGACATCAGAACCTCGGCTCTTGGAATAGTTTTGGTGCTATCACAGTGCTATATATTGGGATTAAGAATAATTCTGAAGGAAAATATAATAAAAAAACCTTTCTCCTTAAATCTTTCTGTAGCAAGGGCTGTTCTGTGGGATTTTTTTGCCGATATCTAACAGCAATGTTACCAAAATTTAATACTTTTAAAAATCAGTCGACTCAGCAGTAATAAAGGGATTGAGTCCAGCCCTGCTAGATCTGTTAGGTATTGCACACCACCTTTAATGCCTGAAAACTGTATTAGCATTCTGCAGATGCTCTCTGAAAGATCAGGGTAATGATAGGAAATGTGTGGAAAAAAGGGAAAGCAGTACTTCTAATACAGTTGTATATGTTGTACACCTTTCAGTCTCTTGGAAACTTTGGCAGTACACTTACAATGAAATCCCTTTTTTCAGGTCTGTTTTTACAAAAATGTTGAGAATTAACATTTGTGGTATTTTGGAATTCTTTAATATGGTATGGAAATGTTCACAAACATTATCTGAAGTTTCCTAAATTAACTTGAAAAATAATTACTGAATGCATATGTAATAGTTTTAATAGCAAAAATGAAAACAAATATCCAAGTGGCTATTAGCTTAGAGTTAGTTTGATTTAATACCCCATAAAGTAAGAGGAAACAAGTAATCTTGCCAGTAATAAACTTTGGGTGGCAATAACTTCCAGCACAGAAGGAAAGTATTTTCCATTTCTTCAAAGCTCACTCTAGAGTCTCTTTTTAGATGTTATTTTTCTTTCCTGCATGTCATCCATTAAAGATTAGCTGTGGAAGGTTGGAGCATGGAGAGGTTATGAATGACAGAACAACTCCTGCAGAATAATAATCAGTTTTTGGTATTTAATGCTGTTTGACTTTTGCAGACACATTTCTTATTAACCTTTGGTACAAACAGAAATCCAGGTTCCTGATATCTCATGGAGAAGATGAATTCAAGATCCTCTTCCAATTAAACTGAAATAAGGCCAATATTGGGCTTTAGCCAGAAGAACTCAATAGTTCCCAACCCTTGTGTTTATAAACCTTAATATGAGTGATATTTTACAGTTTAAGTAGGTAATTAATATACTTCCCTAACTCAGTTTTCTGTGCATAATTCATTTGTATATATAGTCTATATAGTTCTTAGGGGTTTTGTCCTATTCATGCTTCATTATGTAAAACTATTTCCTGAATATTTTTTCAAAATATTTCCTGGTAAATAAGATAATTTTGAATATAGCTGTAGGATTTGAATCCTCTGTATGGGAAGACAGACAATCCATCTAAAGGACAGAAAAAAAACCGCAAGCTGGGAGTGTTATGAGTAAGAACATCTTGGCTTAATTTTTAGCAGCTTAATTTGAAACAATGTAGTTTTACTTTCAAACTGTCAGAATTGTTGATTGTCAACAAGTTGCATGCAGTTCTTTGAAGTACAGTATACAATGAGCTGGCATGGGTTAAAATGTAAATTACCAAGCTATTTATGGGTGGAGCTTGTATGTAAAAAGCAAACCAGTATCTGATGCTTGTTTTTATGAGTAGTCTGGCCCTTCTCTCTTCTCCACTATGGTGCTAGATGAACATAAAGAATTGGATTTTAATCAGGAATAAAAAGGTCTGCAAATAATCTACTTCTTGGGATATTACAGAAACTTTTGTTTAACCTGTAAAATTATAACTTGCAAACTTTAATGCAACATTTATATAT